GGTATGGCGTCACCTTTGCCTAATTATAGTCCAGATGAATAGTGTTGTGACCAACTTTATTTTGCTCTGATGGTCTCAAAAGAACAGTTTCCCCTTAGAAGACGTGTCCTTTTACCAAAACCTTCAAAGATTATTTTGTGTGACATTTTGGATGCTTCCCCTACATATTTACTCCAATTTTCCCAAATCCTTTTACCTGCTGGTATTTCTGTATCTAACAGTCCAGCTTCCTGCTTCAGCACATACTTGCATGCAACAGTGGGAAACTTTCTCTGTTCCTGTGCATGAGTTTGTCCATCCTAACACGGGGTTCCTTCACTTCTTCCCTGTTGTGCAAGATCATAGAATCATTCAGGTTGGAAGAGACCCTTGGGATCATCGAGTCCAACCATCTACCCTACTCTACATAGTCCTCCCCTACACCATATCCCTCAGTACTCCATCTAAACGTCCCTTAAACACAGTCAGGGATGGTGACTCAACCACCTCCCTGGGCAGCCTATTCCAATGCCCAACCACTCTTTCTGTGAAGAGTTCCTTCCTAATGTTCAGTCTAAACCTACCCTGTTGGAGCTTGAAGCCGTTCCCTCTTGTTCTGTCATTAATTACCTGTGAGAAGAGACCAGCAACAACCTCTCTACAGTGTCCTTTCAAGTAGTTGTAGAGAGTGATGAGGTCTCCCCTCAGCCTCCTCTTCCTCATATTAAACAGTCCCAGCTCCTTCAGCCGCTCTTCATATGATTTGCCTTCCAGGCCCTTCACTCGTTTCGTTGGCCTAGATCGTTGTGAAACTAAGTCCAGGCAGAATTAGGATGTGCAGAGATACTGAAGCAACTGTGGGAGCTACCAAATACCTCCGGCAGCGTCTGAGTAGGCCATTTTGATGCAGTCAGGATGTGTAAATCTGGTAGTCTGTCCCTGAAATTCTCACCACGGCATTGAAGACTTCACTGACTTCTATTTCAGGACAAGGCAACAAATGAACTGAGAGGTTGTTGAGTCTTTTTTGGCTCACTTCATCAACGCATTTTTATCTGATTTTTTTTTTTTCTTTTAAAATTTAGGGTATTTTTCAAGATCAAAAGCCGCAATGCTCATATGAAGACTCACAGACAACATGAAGAACAGCAAAGGCAGAAGGCTCAGAAAGCTGCTGTGGCCGCAGAAATGGCAGCCACTATAGCAAGAACTACTGGGCCAGTTGGGCATAGTTTGATCCCTCTGGATCACATGGGTTTGGTTAAACATGTGGAAAATGTCGGTGACATTGACGACGATGTTGTTCAGGAGCTGGGTGATGTCATGGAAGAGAATGAAGTCATGGATGCTGACCTTTTATTGGATGATGAAGATGCGGATCTACTGCAGGATGATGCTGAGTTGTAAATAAAGTTGTTTGATAAAGACGGCTACTGAGCACACCCTGAATGGATCAATCAGGAAACCTGGACTGCTCGTTTATTCCCCACTGATTGTAAACTACCTGTTGAAAATGCTAATTCTTTTATCCAGGTCTAGAAAAAAAAAAAAAAATCTGCTCTTTTTCCCTTTTTTTATTAATTTGTGTTTTGGGGAAAAAATAAATAATTGGTACAAATATTCTTATAAGGTGTTTTTATCTGAACTCATTTTGCTGATAACTTCCAAGGTCACTAATTACAGAAGTTCATGGTTCTGCTGTCACTTCCTTCCAGGTGTTCCTGGTAGGATCTTTAGTCTTTAACTCTTCCAAGTTTCATTTTAGCCCCATTACAAGAATTATCTTCACACACTTCTGATGGAACATTATTTTTTGGTTTTGCCTATACTGGATCACTTCCAGCATCTTCTAGAGACTAAATGTCATCTCTGTTAAGGAGATGATTACATTCTTTATCTTTGTGCTGTCATTTTAAGGGAGGTGGGGGGGGGAAATCTGATTTAACTGTGAAACAATTCCAGGAGTGACTGTATCATTCGTAGTATCACAGTACTTTTTCAGTTCTGTCTTGCCTTAATGCGTACATGTTAGGCAGTTTGTAAAAGCAATGGTTACACTGTACATTTTAGCGCTTCCATTTTAGCAAGGTTTTTGATCTGCTGATATTTTAAAATGACCTAATTCAAGGACTGAAGAAAGAAGATGATAGTACTGTGGTTCACATCATCTGGTGGGAACACTCGATCAGGGATGCTGCCTTGTAATCAGATTGCACTGGAAATATATTTTGCTGTGACAATAAATCACACTGTTGAAGAGCCATCTCAGTGGTTTGAGGAAGAGTGTACACTGGAGCAAGGCAGGAGCTTGCTCTCCCACTGGGCAAACACAGGGAGACGTTCTTGCCCGTGGAACAGAGATTGATGGAGTCTATGCCTTCAGCACATGTTCGTTGTTACTCGTAAGCAGGAAGTGTTTGTTATTCTTGTGCCATTTTCAGTCCTCCTCGTTGCATCAAGTTCAAATGTTGTTTGTTTAGTAAAACGTACGCCAAAGGTGAGTTGACACTGCTGTTTAATTACCGTTACTCCTCCCTTAGGTTCAGATCTACATGCTGCATGTCTTAACACCATTTACATAAACTTAGATTTGGTTCTCTAAGTAAGATCTCAAAAGAATTGTACCTCGTAGAACTAAAGAATTAAGGAAGAATTGGAGTTGGGTTGAGTGGGCCTTTAGTTACAGAATGTGAATACTGATTTTTAGAGCTTTTAAAGGTAGCAGCACTGATTTTCTTGTGAATTTTGCACAGCAGAAGAGTATTGCTAACTTTATAAAATATTTTGTAAGACTGATTTCAGATCTTCCAGATTTCAGGGTTGCTTGGTTTTTTTTATGGGTTGGGTTTTGTTTTGTTGGGGTTTTTTTGCCACATTCCAAACATCTTAAGCAGAATCTGAGAGATGGTGGAGGTTATTTTCTGCTGTCTTTCTTCCTTGTGTAACTATGCAAAACGAGGGTAAACCATGGCACTTTGGTGTAGGAGTACCGGACCACCCAAGTTCAAAACCAGTGGGACTCATTGGCAGAGAGGTGCCTTCTCTGCCAAAGCCAGATACGTGAAGCCAAATGACCTGAAGTTTCTATTTAAGGTCGAATGTTGTGATACTAAAGAACAACCCTTCAGGAGAATGGAAATCACTTCTCAGTTTCAGGTTAGTGGAGTTCTTGCGTATGTGGTTGTTTCAGTGGTTTTGGGGGGTTGTTCCAGAGGGTTGCTGGTTTGGGTGGGGTTTTTTTGTTTGTTTGTTTTGTTTTTTTTTAAATTGGTTTTGACCAGCAGGTGGAATTTCACTCCCTCTGCTGCATAAGGGATGATGTTCTCAGTTACTGTGAGTTTCAGGAGATCAGGCAGCAGCCGCCTTCCTTCTCGCGAGCGGTCAGGCAGCACGCTCCCCAGCAACATGGTTGCTTCTGCAGGGGCCACCCAACCCTGGCCCAACCGAGAGCTGGATGCTCCCAGCCACGTCCACTGATGATAAATTTTGTAGATTTTGTAAGTTTTAGATGGCTTGCAAAGTGGAGGCTTTTGCGAGCGGTGACTTGGGTTGGCTTTTAGAAGGCCATGTCAGAAACAACCCAGCAGAGTCTACTCTTCCTCTTCCAAACCTGCATCATTTTGAACTCTTAAGGACTTTTCTGAGAAAGGCCGCTACACTGGAAAATGGAAAAAAAAATGTTTTCAGAGTCCCCTGTTAGTGGTGGGGAAAAAAATGGAGTGTTTGAGCAAAGTGATAATTGAAGTCAGTGAGAGTTCTGCTTGAGGAACGAAGTGAAATACAGATTCTGAAGAGCAGCTCTATATTAAACAATTTACAGTGGAACTTTTCTAGCAACAACAGGACAGGTCGCTGTGCTAAACCTAGTATATATATATAAATATAAACACATATATATGCCTGGTTCTGTAACATTAATGGGGTGCTGTGTTATTGTACAGCCAAGAAGATAATAGAACAATGATAACCAAAGAAGTTATTCATAAAGGACAAAAAAAATAAATGCACATTTCTTAAGCAGTACGTGGTTTAGGCCTCAAACATTAACTTCAATATTATTAACTGTTGCATTGGCTGATGTTAAACAGATGCTGTTCTGCCTGTTTGTACATAAGTTGGACATAGTTTTATTTCAGAGAAGTTGTTTTCTTGCTGATGGTTGATGACTGTTGGAAAACTGTTCACTATTGAACTTAGTCCTCTTTGATAAAGCCTGTACATAAAGAAAACATATTTTATGAGAAAAATCTTATTTTCAATATTTAACTGTTATTTTATTAGAAGATGGTTGTAAATATTTTAGGTGCTGTAGTGTAAAAAGCAGACTGTAATTTTAGGTGGCACAGGAAGTAACAAAATAAAAAAAAAAAACACGTTTGTGATCTATGCTGGTTTCAGGTTCCTGCTCTTAGCGTTTGGCTTGCACACAGCTTAATTTTAGGTCACTGCCTGCCTTGGGTGTCTGTGTGTTAGGATGGCTCAGTGCCACGAATTTAGTACTCGTTTATTCCCCCCCTTTAAATATTTGGTCCTGATCAGAATTTGTTATAACTGCTATTTATATGTGTAAAAAGAAAAGGGGGTTTATATGACATTTCCAGTCGGTTTTATATGACATTTCCAGTGGGTTTTATACTTTGGTAAAATATAGTTGGCTGGGTTTGCTAACAGGCTGGGCCGAGTAACTTTAAAAAAAAAAAATTGAAGCATTTTTAAGAGGGGGGAGAACGCTGAAAACCAAGTTCATGTGTCATTGCGTTTCAAAGGATTCCTGAATCGCTCCAGGCAAAAAATAATAGGAATAATAGTACATATTTAATGTTTTCACCTCTATACAAGTTGAGAAAAATTAACAATTCCCGCTCTTTTCCGTGCG